TAGCGTACTACATGTACGACATATGTAGGGTTATTTTACCTCTGTTTGAGATCACCTAAGTTAAAAAAAAAATTGTAATTTCATGCATATTGTATTGCAAAAAAAATCTAAACTATCAGCAATGAGGTTAGAGTTTATTATCTGCTATGAGATCAGAGTTTATTATCTAAATCCATATTTATTAACATTTCGTTTATTTTATTTTTTTAGCATATGAGATGAAGCAGCCAAGACTTCTAGCTACATTATTGGCTATGAGGTCAGAGTTTCGATAAGTTGTTTCTTGGTTGGACAAATTTCATTTGAAAAAATGGACACAAGTATATGATGGAGGAAAAAGATGCAACCATATGACTATCAATTTAGTATAGTACATGAATTCAGTTTTAAAATAAGAACGAACCTTTTTAATATGCGCCCTAATCAAGATCACATTTAAAAGAATTAAATTGTGGTTTATCAAACGTGGCATGAAAGTAGAGACCATGTTACAAGCAAGACATGAGTATCCCTAAAGAGATTACAACCTTCCTCAAACAGCACCAACAAAGAGGGCATGTGCAATGTCCAAAGATATAGTAGGGAAAATGATGAGTTTAATGTTCAAGAATTATCAAACTCAGAATATGGTAGACAAGTAGAAAGACATGATTGGTGGTGTGATTGTGGTTAGCTTCAAGGTCTTTCACTACCTCGCTCACATGTTATTGTTGTGTGTTCCTTTCATGTCATTTGTACATTAATATATATATATATATATATATATATATATATATATATATATATATATATATATATATATATATATATATATATATATATTGATCGAGTATATAGATTAGATCCAGTTATACAACATGAACAATCAATAAGATCTACCATGACATGCATCATAATGAAATGGATTGTCTAAATTCAAATAAATGAAAAAGAAATATTCATTTTGTCGTACTAAGAACATAATGGTAATAATTGTTCCAGTAAACAATGATATTATAATATTTTGCTTTTAATATTAATATATTTTATTTTTAAGTATTTTTAGAATTCTTTTCATTATATTAATTTATAATAAACTATAACAAAATTACAAAACTAATTTTAATAAAAATATAACAAGAAATTCATAAAAAATATTAATTAAAAAAAAAAAAAAACCTGTGACATGTGCCACGATTTAAAAAAATAAAAAATAAAACCAACAAATCTTTCCTTACGAACTCATCAGATGACATGATTTACCCATTTTCATAATTTTTAAAAAAAATGTACCAGTTTCGTAATAACGTTTGCAAATTGCACCCATTTCATCAAAAACCCTGGTTGAAAATAGCTCAACAATAGAAGTATAAAAATAAAGCACACAAAGGAAGAAAAAGAATGACCCAGAATAAATTGGCAAGTTAGAGATGACATACAAAATATAAGGGTCTAACTGGGTTTGACACAACATAAATTAATATGTCATGTCCTTCATTGTGATTTATCAAAATAGTATAATTTTTTTTTAATTTATCAAAATGGATAGATATAAAAAAAAATTATGTATTTGGGTAAGTAATAGCACAATTTTTATACGAAGAAGTCGTACTATTTTTTTTTCTTTTATTTTTAGGAAGAAGTCATATTACGAATTCTATAAAATTTATATAGAAATAGTAGTACTATATTATAATAATAATTATTATTATGTTATTGTATTATAATGATTATTAATAATAATTTTTATTTTATATTATTATTAAAATTAATAATTATTATATTATTATATTATTCTATTATTAATAATATTAAAATAATAATAATGATTATTATTATTATTATTATATTAATAATATAGATATTTTTCTTCTTATTATTATTATTATTTATTTTATTTTTAATTATAATAATAATATTTATATAATAAAAAAATTTATTATTATTTATAATAATAAAACAATATAATAATTATTATTAATAGTATTAATTATTATTAACTAATAAAAAGATAATAATATTATTATCTTATTATTAATAATAGAATAGTATTTATAATTATTATAATTATATTAATAAATATAAATATATTTATCATTATTTATTTTATTATTAATTATGTTTAAAATAATATGAATAAAATAAACTGGGATGTTGTTCATCCAGAGGTCAATTTTGAGTTTTTAAAAATAGATTTGATTTCCCAGAGTTTTTAAACCCTAAACTTAAGACACGGGTTTTGATTTTATTTTTTATGTATTTGTATAGAAAAACTTAATATACGGTATGCTAATCAAATGGGATATCTATTACATTAAGCTGTCACATATCATTTTATTTAAAAATATATAAAAATATAAATAAAATAGACAATAATTAAATATATTAAAATTATTATTATTATTATTATTACAAAATATGATAATATTATTTTTATAATATAATTATAATAATTATTAAAACATAATAATTAAATTAATATAAATTTATTATTTTATTATTATAAATAATTTAATTATTACAATTAAAAATAAAATAATAATAATAATATTAAAAATATCTACATTATTAATATAATAATAATACAATAGTAATTATAATTATTTTATTTTATTATTAATATTATTGTTATCATTATTTTAATATTATTAATAATATAATGATTATTAATTTAATAATAATAATAATAATAATAATAATAATATAAACTTTTATAAATTATTAGTATTGTTTGTATTAATAAAAAAATATGAATACTCCATTAATAGAACTTCGTTCTTGAATTATATTATTTTCAAGTAACTAAATTAGGATTAACTACTAGTATTTTAGGAAAAAAAATTTGTTTTGAATTTTATAAAACCACTAAGAATTAGATAATTAAATCTTTTAAAAGAAATGGTATCAGAGTCTAACCATTTTTCAAAAGGGGTATAATAGTAAGAATTATAAGTGGAAAGTGAGTAAGAGAAACCTGTAACTATGAAAAAATAAACACAACCATTAGAGTCCAGTCTCGTTAGTCCCGTTCTTTTAAACTCAACTCTTTCTCTTCCCAAAACATCTCAAAAATTCTTTCTTCTAATATAGAAAACCTCATAGAATACTTTTATGTCCCGAAAGATGCTCAGATATCTAAAACTTACAGTCTTCTCCTTAGTCCTTATAATATCTTTAGAAGACAAAGATCTACCCTTAAATCTATCACTCGTCTTCTTTCCACCAGAAGACCTCATGTAAAGGAATACGTTCAATCCTCCAGGATGGATCAGTGTGTTTTAGCATCTACCATAAAAGAATAATATGTCAATATTGAGATCCCCAAATATCTCATCAAGCATTGACAAATTGAGGGTTATACTCATTTTCACTATGGAGCTGTTCAATTAGTCCTCTCTCTCCATGGTAGACGAGGATTACCTGTCTCAACTAGAGTCTCTCTCTTGGACTCCAGCTACCTCCATTATGAGCATGTCATTATCGGCACTGTTCTGACTACTCTTCATGCTGGAAGTGTAGTTGTCACCATCTTTCCCAACTTCAATGTTAGCTTGAAGGATCCTACCATTTCTCAGAGATTAAAGGTTCAGGTCCAGATCACTGCAGTTAAGCAAGTGGCTGATGCACTATCGGCTACTCTCCATCATCAAATTATCTACAGGTTGCAAGATCATGCAATTAATCTTGCGTTACCAAGGACGGAGCACTATTTGTCTTGGCCAATAACCAAGATGAGACACCACACCCTCCATAGTTCAAATCCCTAAGAATATCTTTTCACAAGAGCTGCACAAGCTCATTCCTGTGCAGTGGGTGACAAACTACGAGAAGCTCCATAATAACCAGAAACCCATCCAGTTCACGGAAGCGACATTTAGAAGATCTGTAGATGACACTGTCAGAACCATATTCAAAAATCCAGAGGATGTTCCAAGTTCGAGAACCTCCATATTCCAATCAATGATAGTTATATCTGTCACTAAAGAAGACAAAATCCCTATCGTCAGCGTGTGCCCTGATGACAAAACTATCTTCACTGACAAGATAGGGGGACACTTCATCTGGGATGTTGACCCAGATATGTGCGATTCTGACTGTGATTGTTGTGACCACAATGGAGACACTAGTGACGAGGATGATGATGATTCAGATAGTGATGATGAGGATGACTTTAAAAGAGGATCCTGCAAACCTCCATTCATTCCTCCCAGAAGATTTGAACCTGGAAAAGGCCCGTGGATAGGAATCCACCACCAAGATGAGCCAGATTCCTTGTAGAAATATAGGCAATATGCTGAGATCCTTGAAGAAGAAGACTTCTTCTTCTCCAGTCAAGAAAGGTGCAGAACCTCTGCCATGCCACCTCAGCCTGCTCCTGTAGCTCCTCCCATCCCATGCACGATGATCAACTCTTCAGCTTACAAAGAAGAATTTCCTCCCTTAGAAAGGAACGTTGATCCACTGTCCAAGACAACTACCAACCCACATGTCGTCTGCGAAGAGATTGGACCAGATGGAAAGACCAAACCCTTAAGTCAAGCAAAGAAGTACTAAATTGGTAGACAGAGAATGCTAGAGCTCATAATTCTATCTTGCAAAAGATTGATAAGAAAATAGACAAGATTTCTTCTTAAATTAACTTCTGTATAAATTTTATATACATAGGATTTCTTCTTAAATATAAAAAAAAAAAAAATCTTGCTATAAACCCGAATTACCCAAAATCGTAATCTTTTAAACATTGAACCTTGGGTAATTTTTTGCAAAAGCCCCTTCATTGACATATATACACAATGAACGGTACCTTATTAATTAGTACAAAATATTCACATGCAATCATGGAATCTCAAGGGACGATCCTAGGAACTTCTTTACATTGGTTACTGTACAATATTGAGGCTCATCTAAACCTAATTAACATTGGATATATATACCAAGGTTGTTTTTCTTAAAGGCGAAAACAGAATGATCTAACTGGGCATGGAAAACAAGAAGAATGCATACATATTTATGCATCGAGTTCAAGCTTTGACGAAGCCAAGATTGAAAGGCACGCCAGTGGCGGGGAGCCAGGCGTTGGCTTGGAGCCATTGGTTAGCGGTGTATTTGGTAGCGTCAGCCTTGCTAAGGGTCCCGCGACCCCACTTAACCCTACTTTTTACATCGGCACCCAAGCCAGTGTTCGCATACTCAGCAAAGAAACAGGTGTCAAGGTACAGGTCCCCATTCCATGGAAGAAAGCCATCTGCATGAATCATATCGCTGATCCTATTTTCCATGAAGATGGCCCTCGAATATGCCTTCCACGGCCTCGCCAAGTACGTCCTAAACGACTTCTTCACCGGTTCTAGATCCGCCGACGCCACGATCTCGCAGTTCTGCAGCACCGATCCTGTCGGCATGTTCTTTTGGTCCGTACCGTCTGCCACCACTATGTTCTGCTGATTCGGATCGGGCTTCCGCACAACGATCTTCGAGTTCTGGATCAGGACGGTGCCGTACCCGAAAATAAAATCCACCGTTCCGGATATTTCGCAGTTGCGGTAGAACTGACGGTGCGCGTGGACGTACAACGTGTCCTGGTAACCGTGCATGGCGCAGTCGAAGAAGGCCGAGCGATCACCTTGCACGCGCAGCGCCACTGCTTGGTGTTTCGCCGCGCCAGCAGTGTTCTCAAATGCTATAGACTTTGCAATGAAATCTTCTCCAACCGTCGCTGCAAATATTCATCACATGTTAATATATTACTTTCATGTGTTCTTTCATACCTAGATCACAGGACATTGAAATGGAATTAAAAGAATTACTCACAGAAGGTTGCAGATCTCATTGTCTTAAAACCATCCTTTACGTTTTTATTACCAGTGATAATTGTCTTGGTGGGGCCATCGCCGTAGATTAGAAGATTCTTCTTCTTTTTGTCAACGGTTATGTACTCATCATAGGTACCAGCCTTGACGTAGATAATGTATCTGCCTTGATGTTTCTTAGGGTAGGAGTTAACAGCATCCAAAACAGTCTTATAATCGCCACTACCATCCTTGGCAACAACCACATTAGGTTGAATCGCATCTCCTTTTTTCGCATCCCCTAAGAGCTTCCGGTCCGGCTTGGACATCCACGACGGATACCCATCTTGCTCCACATCGAGAAGACGACGAGACGTAGTCTTGGTAGTGAGATCCAAATTGAAGTCTGAGAGTATTTCCGCGAAGCTAGACACAACGTCAAGCGCTAACGCCGTTAACTTCCCAACGTGGTCCAAACCTTTGCTTTGCAACTTCGATTGCACCTCCTTCTCGGCGTCCGTATCGAAGCCGTCGAGACACGACTGCTGGTATGCGACGACGGCGCCAATCCAGTTTTTCAGGTCGGAGACGCGGTCGTTGATGTTGTTAATGTTGTTCTCTCTGACTAGAATCTCGGAGGCCTGTAATTCGTCGATGGCGAATTGCAACAAGTCCTTGCAATCATCAAGGGCCATCTTAACGCTGGAGTTTCCCTTGCTGTTTTCGACGGTGAGAGTGTCGCTTAGGTTGAAAGCTTTGATGACGCTCTCCATTGTGTTTTTCACCACGGTTTTAACGTACGCGGTTGGGTCTGAGGTGTTGACGGATTCGAAAGTGTCTTTGCAGAACGTCTTGTCGTCGCTGTTTTGGCACACGGCTTGCACAGCTTTTGCGTGGGTGGTCACGTGACCGGTGGTGTCGCCATTGGGGTCTTCATCGCCGGTGGAGACAAAAGCGACAACCCCTAGGGCAACACCTACTACGAGAATTAGAGAAACAGCAGAGACCATTGTCGTTTTCTTTTCCATTTTTTTTTTGTTTTTTCCTTAAAATTTAATAGGTACGAACTACAAAAAAGAGAAAAAGGTTTTCTTCTTCCCTGCTGTTTACGGGGGTGGGTTTTAGCAACGTTGATTGTCGCGGAACCATTTTTATAGAACATTGATGGTTTCCCATAGATGGATGGTACGTTTAAGATTTTATTTTCGGAGACGTTAAACATTTCTCTCAAATTCTATTCATGTCTTCTGTGGACTGTCTGCTATGAATCGACGACTGCGCATTGCCTCTAATTTCTTAAGCCAGGAAACTCTCGGACATGTATTGCCTTAGCCACTATCCATCACATGGCCTACTCCTACTTTCAACCATTCAATTGTTTTCGGGGAAAATATCTTTTCACAATCCATTTTTATAAATATCCTATTCACAGTCTTAAAATATTAATTTTTTTATTTTTTAATTGATTGATGGAGAGAGTGAAATAAAAAAGAAAAATAATAATATAAAAATCTAAAAATAAATTGTTGTTAAATAGATATTTTTGTATTTTTGTGGTGTGATCTTGTTTTCCTATTTACGATTCAAGTACATATATCTCTTTTTAGCGTTTTATTATAATATATCAATTATAAATTGTAAAGAAACGTATGATTCTAATTTCCTTAATTTTAATTGCTTATATTTCTTAATTAATCAATTATATATATATATATATATATATATATATATATATATATATATATATATATATATATATGCGAGAGAGAGAAAGAGTTTCTAATAAAAAATACTAATATTTATTGTATTGCAATTTTTATGTCACAAAACCTGAATATACTCATTTCTTCTAATCTTTTTAATAAAAATACCATAAAATCATAATAAACTATTTGTAAATAAAATTGTTATAATTAATTGTTAAACATATAAATGATTTTTTGGTATATGCATAGAGATTGGGCCCGGTGGATCCCAAATCTAAATATTAGTAAAGTGGGTCAAATAAGTCTATTGGAGGAAGATGAAGTTAACTATTATCTAATGAGCCCGAGGTATACAGGTAGTTAGGAATAAGGTATTATCGGGTCCGAGAAAGATGAAAACAATAAAAAACAAACTAAGAGAAGATTGAGATTTGAGGATAAAAAGGGGACGAGGAAAACCTAAAAGAATAGATTTCTTACTCCAGAACATTGGCGCCCACCGTGGGGCAGGAAAACTTCCACGTTCAAAACTATTAGATATTGTTTAGATATTATTTAGATATAGTTTGATATTGTTAAGATATTGTTAGATATTGTTAACCACAATATCAAACAATATCTTCTGTTTATTCTGTTTACTTTCGGTTACTCTTTTAGTTGTACCTCTCTATTATAAATAGATTACCCTATGTGTGATTTATACACAAGAGAGATTAATTTCAAACTCTATTTTCTCTATATTCAACATGGTATCTAGAGCTTAAGGTTATCTTGAAAAAAAAAATTTCGCCTTTTGTCCACTGTTGGAGCCGCCCCACCACTGCTAGAGCCGCCCCACCGCTGCTGGTAAACTGATCCTTCACATCAGAAAAGAAGTATCTTTGTTACTGAATTTTATTTGGTAGTGTGAAAGTGCATGTCTAGGAAGTTCTAGCAAGGAAAGACTTGGTATTTAAGTGTGTCCATTAGTGACTCACCTCTCTTTCTTGGGAACTTACCTGGTGTACTGGTTCACGTTGTTGTCACCGCTGCCACTGGAGCAGTCACCGGATTCGCCGCTGCTGGAGAATTTGTCGGAGTTTCATTTTTTTTACTGTTGTGACATATGATTTTGCTTGCCTCGGTCAGGTGAACACCGTGTCGTTGAGATCACCACTATCGGAGTTGGTCGTCCCGTTGTCTCCTGTGCCGTTTAGTTTTGGCGAACTTATTTTTAGTATTCTCATTTTGGATTTGTGCTTCGTGGGTTAACTGGATTACTTTGGATTGTTTTAGGGTTTGTTCTCCCGCTCTTCATGACTTCTTCCACTTCTACTATTTCCAATCTTGTTAATGATTCTTTTGTGTTAACATCCCATCGTGATGACCGGACTCGCCCTCGCAAACAGGGAAAAGGGCGTCCTAAGTGTGAACATTGTGGCAAGTTAGGTCACAAGATTAACAAGTACTATACATTACATGATCGTCCTCCTCGATCTGCTGCACTTGTTCAGACCAATCTTTCCCTACCTTTATCTGTTGGGGATCCTCCTTCTTTTGTTGCATCCGACATACAAATTTCTCGAATGGTATAAGGATCAATAGTCTTCTAGTTCCACTATATCTGTCACACATACAAATACATATTTTGCTAGTCTGCCCAATCATTTTTCTGGTCCTTGGATTTTTGATTCAGGAGTCACTGATCATATTACTGGTAACAAATCTTTGTTCTCCTCTTTATCCTCTCCTAATCATTTACCTTTTGTTACATTGGCTGATGGCTCTAAAGTATCATCTCATGGTGTTGGAACGGTTAAACTTTTTCCTTCTTTAACCATTGATAATGTTATTTATGTCCCTGAGTCTCCTTTTAACCTGTTATCCATCAGTCGTTTCACTCGTTCTCTTGATTGTATTGTTACTTTTACCAACAATTCTGTGTGTTTACAGGACCGGAGTTTGAAACAGGTGATTGACACAGGATGTGAGTCTCATGGTCTTTATTATCTCTGTCCCTCTACACATGTTAATACAGTTATGGAGTCTCCCTCTCTTCTTCATGCTCAGTTAGGTCATCCAAGTCTTGCCAAATTACAGAAGCTTGTCCCTGCCTTGTCCAACTTATCTAGTTTGGCGTGTGAGTCATGTCAATTAGGCAAGCATAGTCGTACTTCCTTTCCTCGTAGTTTCACACATGGTGCTTCGTCCCCTTTTGCCGTGGTTCACTCTGGCATTTGGGGAACTAGCCACGTTAAGTCTACTTTAGGTTTTCAATACTTTGTTACTTTCATTGATGATTATTTCAGATGCACTTGGTTATTTTTGATGAAAAATCATTCTGAATTATTTCATATCTTTCAAACTTTTTTTAATGAAATTCAAACTCAGTTCGATGTTTCTATTAGAGTTTTGCGTAGTGATAATGGCCGTGAATATCTTTCTCATTCTTTTAAACAATTCATGGCTTCTCACGGTATTTTGCATCAAACTTCTTGTGCTTATACACCTCAACAAAAATGGTGTAGGTGAATGTAAAAATAGACATCTTATTAAAACAACTCGCACACTTTTAATTCATGGAGATGTTCCTCAACATTTTTGGGGTGATGCTCTTCTTACTGCATGTTATCTCATTAATCACATGCCTTCTTCGGTTTTAGATAATAAAATACCTCATTCCATTTTATTCCCTTATGAACCACTTCATCCTTTACCTCTGAGAGTTTTCGGGTCTACATGTTTTGTTCATAATTTCAGTTCTGGTCTTGACAAACTTTCTCCTAGATCACATAAATGTGTTTTCTTAGGGTTTACAAGATCACAAAAAGGATACAAATATTTTTCTCCTTCCCTTAACCATTATTTTGTGTCTGCAGATTTCACCTTTGATGAGTTGTCTCTTTATTTTAAAAGTCAATCTTCACCTCTATCTCCATCTAATCTTGTCAACACTCCTAGTACATTTAATGTTCATGTTGTTTGTGATCCTCTAACTGTGTCTTCTTCACCATTAGTTCCTACTCCGCAGTCAGCTTCTTCTCCACTGCCTCTTTAGATTTATAGTTGTCGAAACCAATCACAACCACCACCATGCGACTCCACTCAAGTGCTAACTACTCTGTCTCCTCCGTGAAAGTGATGAAGATCTTATTGAACTACTTTGGCAAAGATCTTGTTGATTTGATGAAGTCAAAGGCTACTTTGTGGCAGTCAAAGGTCACTTAGATAAAAGAGTAGTGGGATTAGTGAGTCTACATCTCTGCTTAGGTATAATCATTTTTATCTCTCTACTGCATGAGGTTTCTTCATTTAAAAGATTTTGCAAAATGCCTCTAAAAAGCGATTAAACGGTTAAAAACAAAGTATTTTGATAAAAAGGTTTTTTAATTAACTATTTTAACTAATAACATATAAGCTTTATCAACTAAAATGTTCTTAACACTTTTGTAACAGGTTTTTAACTGATATGTTTTTGAAATAATCGATTGTTTTCATTAAAGGAAGTTTTGAAAACCTTCTGACAGTGTTTTAACTGATATAGTTTTGAAATAATTGATTAAAATCACTTAAAATGTTCATGGAAGTGTTCTGGTAGTATTTTAATCGATATAACTTCGAAATAATCGATTAAAACCACTTAGAGTATTTGTTAATCGATGTAATCTAGCATATGATCGATCAGAATGAGTTTATGATCGATCAGAATGAGTTTTTGATTTATCAGAATAATTTTAATCGATTAAAATGTGATTTAATCGATTAAAACAACTTAAGAGAATTTCTAGTAAGCGTTATAATCGATTAAAACAAATTGTTATCAGTTAAAATCACTTAGAAAAGTTTATAAGAATATTTTGCAGTATTTTAATCGATTGAAAGACGAATCAATCGATTAAAACAGTTTGGAGGATTTTTTACAAAGAGTTTTAATTGATATAAACGGTGTCATATCGATTAAAATAAATCTGGAAAATGATCAAGAACATTATAACATATTAAAAGAAGTTTTAACAGATTAAAACAAGACTTTTAACAGATTAAAAGATTATTTTAACAGATTAAATAAACCAGCGAGTTTTGAAAATCTTCTATATAAACAGAGTTGCTTGAACTTTTTAAAAAATATCTTTTAGCAATCAATCAAGCAAGCATAAGTGCTACTTTCAAGAGAGAATCGCGCTAGTTTTTGTGAAGTTCATAGGAGTTCTTTCTTGAGGCAAAATTGCATTCTTTTGGAGAAGAAACACATACTGCAGAGTTGCATAAATCTGGTTTGAGCGTTCTAAGTTTCTTCTATTTGTTTCTTTACTTTCTTTACTGTATTGTGGGTGCCTGGAATT